TACAGAGCATACTATGGCCTGACTATACAGAGTCTCAGTTATAAATAGTTAATCATCTGCAGATACGGAACGGACTAGATCGGATTTGGGTAGCATTTTCAAAAGGGTGCCAACTCTTAAAATTTCTATACCAATAGCTTTCAGAAGTATTATGAATAACTGGTTGTAGCTCGTTATTAAGTAGACAGCAGCTCGAGACCTGTTTGCCTCAATTTTCATTTTACCATCATGGAGACTACCAAGCGACCCGGGAGGAAGCGCGACGAAGCCTGGAACGAAATCGATGTGGCCGAGGACGGTTACGTCTACTGCCTTCGCTGCAATCAATCAATCCATTCACTTGATTACACTCATGTCGACCGTGTCAAGTGTCTCCTGCGGGAAACTTGCGCGAAACGACCTCGTCAGCAGGTAGTCACGTCGTATTTCCCCCCAGAAATCGATATTGCGACTCAGAACGCTTTTAACAAGATATTTGCTCTGTGGCTCCACTATACGGGTATGGCTTTTTACAAAGCTTAACACGACTTGTGCGCCGCTGTGTTTCACGTTCTGCACCCTATCGTCGCTTATCCTAGCCGACACCTACTGCGAGGACGACTACTTGATGAATGCAACGATGAGTCGTTGACTCGAATTTGCTCTGCACTGGCTAGACGCGTTTGTCCTCCAGTGACAGACGCCTGGGCCGATATTAACGGATTTGCTGTTTTTAACTATCTCGCTATCGTCTGGTCCGACACATTTTTTCTGGAAACCGTGTACACCAGAAGTGGGAGCCATGATTCCGTCTTTTTGGCCAATGATATCAACCGGGTGATCAAAAAGCTCATCGACTTCGTCGCAGTTGTAACTGACAACACTTCAGCCAACCAAAGTGCCTGGGCTATTCTTCAAGAAAACGTATTCAAAAATGTTTTTCCATGGGTGTGCCGCACACACAGTTAATTTGCTTGTGAAGGACGTCGTATTTCAATGGAATGGCTTGAAACTAGTGGGAGGCTGGGTCTCTGAGCGAAATTTTTTGACAGCTTCGACAAAATCCAAAAAGGCTGCACGGCGCAAGGTATTTGATTTCATTGCCTGCAAGAATTTGATTCCTCAATTGGAGAAAGCTATTCAACTACTCGAGCCGCTCGTCAAGTACCAGCGGAGATTCGAAAAGAACAGAACTGCACCGTCGGAGGTGTACGCCATGTTTCTGGCACTCCCGGACGAGATTGCTCAGTTGCCTTTGGCGATAAGTGAAAAAAAAACGGTTCGCGCAAAAATTTCGTCACGGTTCGACTTTGTATACGGTGACGTTCACGGTGTGGTCTATCTCTTGAATCCCCGCTACAGTCGTGCACCTCCAATTCGGCACCGGTGTCTGTCGATACCCTGCCAGATTTTGTGATTACGCGAATCGGATGCGCAATACCTTTGCCCATCACCCTATCAATTAACCTCAGCGGTTTCCCCCTCCTCGCGAAGGGATGACACGCCGCATCGATCTGATTTTAAGTTTTGGATCGGACGTCTTCATACAAACACACACTTTGATTTCTACCGCCAAAGACATCGCCCCTCCTCCTACATGTCCCTTACTCTAGCACAAGTCAGATCCTGCATGCTCTCACTCCGAACTAGCTCGTTGGGCAACGGAGCGCTTTAAGACCCCCCAAGCAGTAAAGCGCACTACCGTCCAGAGTATTCTTAAGCGGTCGGCGGACGTTGCCGCCTTGCCGGATGCCTATCGCGACCGGAAGCGTTGTGCGCGCCCGCGATTCGCGCGTCTGACGCCAAGATTATGAAGAAGATTGACGTAAATTTGGTACGGAATTAACAAAAACAATATCAGTGCACTGGATTTGCGTTTGTTTTTTGCTTTACGTATTGCACTTATGCCATGGCACTGTTGATATGGTCCGCCCTGCCGAATTGGAGGTGCACAACTGTACAATGGCCATACAATGGATGCTACTACCTTAAGTAAGGTAGAGTAGTTTGTAGCTGCGTGGCATGGCGATGTCAAGGCGGATGAAGTGGCGATCGAGCTTGCTCGGTTTCAAGACCTGATTGCGTATATGAGGGGCTCGCACAAAATGGGCCTATTAAAGAAAAAGAAGATTGCGATCCCTGATTTCTGGAGTGGCCTTACCAGTCTACCGCTTCTCCAAGACGTGGTTAGCGTCGTGTTCAACGTGGTGTGCTTCAGGGCGGCGGCCGAAAAGAATTTTCTGACTCACAAGCTCATCCACTCTACGCTTCGGAACCGGCTTGCATCTGGACGAGTCGAAAACCTCGTTCACATTTTGTTCAACTCGAAGAACTGTTTAGACAATGAGTTGGAGCTCCTCGATGATTTTTTTCCTTGGAAGAGGACGAGGAAGCTGCACACGTCAACCAAGACGGTGAGTTCATTTACTACTAGGTTGGAATAGGTGGAGATGGCAACAGAAGTAGTAGTTGGAACTGTAGCTAAACATTCAGCATAGTGGTAATGCAGAAAGTTCAACAAAATCTCTTGTGGTTTATTTAATATCCCAGGGGCGTCTGGATGGGACGTGGAAGTACCATATTCCATTTACCCCCATCCCAAGCGAGCCCTATGTATGGGGTGGGAGGTGGTGAATGCACCTCCGCCGCTCTGGATCACTAATTAACCTTCGAAGTCAGTCAGGTCACCTCTCAATACTTTCTATAAGCACTTAGCTCCGTGCTGGTGGCTTTTGTTTTACGAAGCAGACTATCATAGGTGAGGATCAATAGGGCCTACACCGAAGGTGTCGGTAAATTTGCATTATTGTATGGAAAATGAGTGCAATAAGAACAAATAGCATTCTCAGGTCCGTGGGAATCACCACGGCTCGATATGGGCGACATGTTGGGTATTATATGAGACTGCGTCAAACAAAATGTTACCTAAGAACCTAAGTACGAATCGCGATTTAAGCACTCTAAACGAAAGCGGGGCGTCTCCTCTATCTTTTGAGCCCTTATAAGCTGCAGAATGCTTAAAACTGAAGAGGTTGTGGTCGCTCAAAAATATTATCTTCATTTATGGGCCCTCGAAATGACGATACATTTAGGAGTGTTGTGAGCTCAATATTTTTTCAATGTTAGAGATTTAAGTGTTATTTAAAAGCTCTTGTTAAAAGCAATTGAATAAGGGTAGTTTTACAGTTTTTTCGATGGAATTTTACAATAAATATCACTGTTTCGGTTAAGTGCGAAAATCAATTGGCCAACTTTAAGCTCGATTATCTTGATAACTCTCAAAGGTTCGTAAGTAACATTTTGTTTGACGCAGTCTCATATGCAAGCTAATAGGTACATTATCTAATTCCGAGCCCCAGGGTCCGTTATATAATCACCATCAGCCACAACCCCCTACAATATTAATACGTTCATGTACACTAGACACGATCATTATGATACATAGTACTTGAGTTTAGTAGGCCAAGGCGTGCATGATTAATGCGTCGCGGTGCCAAAATCAATTGTTTGTATAGGAGCCCTGGTGTAAGCTGCAAAATCGCAATCGCTAGGACGTGAAGCCTATTTTGTGTGATAACAGGAGCAACATATCTATATAGCACGCTCTAATTCTTAAAATTGAGTGAGCTACAGCCACAACGTGAGTGCGTGATCTAATGTGGCGCGGAGTGTAGTACAGTACCAATTGATTCTTTACACAAAATATTATTAAACTAAAGCTAAGGATCTGTCCTGTTTTACAGTTTATTTGTGTGGACTACAAATTAACATGTAGCAGCAGCGTCGTTCTTTTTAGTTTAGTTTTCCGAACTTCAAGCTGCTACCCGTAATATAATCAAATTTGCACACGTCGCAGGAAAAACCAAATTTAAGAATCGGTACATTCGGGTACATGTAATGTATCACATGTATGGCTACATCCCTTTTTTGGCAGATCATAAACTGTCCATTGAGTCACTGTTTACTTGAGTACAATTTGTAATGTTTTGTATTGTACTGCAACGCTTAAACTCGGAGAGATGTACAGGTTGCCTGCAAACAACATTTTAGCTACTGAAGCAGTCATTTAACGTGCACTATTCTCTTGAAATAATTATTGCTACACTTCAGAGGTAGATATTTACATTTTCCAATTTCGCCTTACGATCGACAACATCATCAGGTGGATGGGAGCCCTTGTTGTTTCATTCGTGTCGGGTGCCCGGCTCGCGAATTAGTAAGGAGTCAGCTCAACTTTGCGTTTGCTTTCCATGAGTGGTCAGACCAATTGTCTCCATGTACACGTCTGTCTACAAGAAATAATACAATCTCTGATCTCGAATATGCATTGCCTCAAATGCAATGGCTCACATGAAGACCGAGACTCTATTCTTGTGTTGACTCTAACGAAGACAGCAAACGACGTAACGTCATTCCGATGCAGCACGTCGCGATCCGGTGTGACGGACGATAGCGATGTTAATCGCTGGTGTGTAATTAACCGTGCGAAAGTCGCGTGGGGTATGCCGCCCATAACACCTCGCCGATCTAACGATTGGACTCCGAAAAGACAGTTCGGAGCAATGCTCTCGTTGTTGGGCCAATCAATTTGTGTGAAGAGAGGATTAAGGGAGCGGCAGTAGTATCGACGCTCACTTTACCTGTCATGCTCTGGTGGCTGTCCTTCTCATCGGGCTTTAAGACAAGAACATTCAATATTACCAGACTTACCACAACAGCAAATCTGTAGTCAGAACTGACTTGCAAGCTCCCCAGAACGAACTTGAATTGATACAATGTGCCCATTCGCCTGGTTAGCTATCATTAAATGACTGAATACAGAACACTGTATTTCGTGCAGTTAAATTAGCGCCAGCGCAACCACGTTCTATGGCAGACCACTCCAAGTGGCGTAAGGGCGGACGCACTAGGGGACGATCCACTCTGTGAACGAGCTTGCAACAATCGAGTTGGGCACGCACAGACGGGACGCGTCCGCCCACCGTCCGCTGCGCCAGATACAAGGCACATCCCAAAACAAACCCGAGTCAGCCAGAGACGCCGCACAATTCGAAGAGCGGACCGATCACCAAAGAAGCGAAGCACAACACGCCGCAGCGCGCCCCACCTCTTCAACGCTCTAGATCCACCTCCTCTCTGCATCAAAACCATGGCACCGAAGCACGTAGCCGACATATACGAAGGGGTGGACGTCCCCATTAACCAACAGCTCTCAGAGCTCTCTACAGCACCCAAGAGCTCAACGCCAAATGAAGCCACCTCCTCCTCTGCGCCTACCTCACCCGAGCGTCGTAGGAAGCGCCAACGCAGCTCGTCCGTCACCAACGACCGCGAAGCCTCGCCTAGGAAGATGAAGAAGCGTCTACGTTGGTCTACCATCACCATCCACGAGTTCGGCGTCGGACTGGGTGGCAGTTCGGTGCCTGGCAAGGGCGGCCCATCCATCGGTCTGAGCGACAAACCCGAGTTCACATGGACCACGAAGGTAGGCGAGATGGCCGAGTGTGTCGAGGGTGTGCACCGATTCACGTCAAAGGAGCGCGTGCGATTGCTACAGAGTGCCGGTGTGAGCGAGGGCATGATCCTGCGATTCTCGCGGGAAGCCAACATCATCAACTCCTCGCGCAGGAGGACACTCGTGGAGGACATTGCTGAGCGCAAAAAGGCCAAGAAGCAACGTCGGCAGCAACAGCAGTGCAACATTGAATCACCTCGACCCGCCTGCTCATCCCCATTCCTCAACCGTCCGCACATGATCCCGGTCAACTACGTGTGAGAGAGCATTTTCCCATGTAATCAAGCAAGTCACGAGCGCCTCGCGACCAGAGAAAACGATAGCATGGATGTACTCTTGGCATTTTTGCACATATCATCATCACAACGGACAGGCGTCGAACGAAGAACCGCCTCCACACGCCGTTGTACTGATCGTAGAGGACGAGCTTAAGTTATTTGGTCTTTAGTATTAAAGGACATTGCTATCAATACGAGCTGCATACATGAACCATCCTGTTGCTGGATATCCTCCATTGCGCCTCCTGCATGATTTCTCTTCCTACCTGCGACGCTTTTGGCCTTGTTACATGGATCATCCGGTTCAAGTCAGTTGAGGGATCAATTCCTTATTTAATAGTCGCATATGGGTTACGAGCTGCTTTTGGCCAAATCAATGCTTTCCGGTTCGAAGCAAAAAGAAGCGAGTTCTAAATTTGATAGAGGTCGGTAATTACAGGGAGATCGTCCGAATTTGGCACGTACACTGTACGGTACAATGCCTCGACAAATCGTAAAGCGAGGGGTGACGTAGCGCAATGGTGCAGATGAACCTTGCAGGTGTGCTCAACTCGTTTGCCCACCACGAACAGTGCGAACTCCGTGCAGCTTGCAGCCGCCTTCTTATATTAATAAGTACTGTTACCGCTGCAGTGCCATTGGCGCGGAGGCAGAGCTAAATCCAGCGAGTCGTCATCTACATGGACATGCGCGAGGCATTTAACCCGAAGACTGTCTTCGGGTTGTCTTCAAGACACTCGAAGGCAAAAACAGGTGGGAAAGCGGCATCACATTTGCAAATTAAGTCGCGAACAGGTGATCTCGTCGGATGCAAGCAGCAAAGTCACCTTGTAAACCTCATGGACTCAATGCTGTGAAGCCTTATAGCCTAGCTCACGGTGGGTATCTATTGCAGGCGTGGTGGTGGGAGGGTATCCGCTACCACCGCAATGCTAACCGGCGTCAAGCAATTGCCGTTTTCTTGCGAAAAATGCTCGGATTACGCGATACGTCCGCTAGCGGGCGAGAGCGACTAGGTCAAGCGGACGATGTTGAACCGCGCATTGACTGGGAAAAAGCAAGGCGAAGCAAGTCATTGGGTGTTTGTGTGTGGATGGAGCAGATCCCCCAAATCCTGTGCTGGCATGGCAGCGGCGCGACAGCGACGAGTGAGTGGCGGGTGGTCCGGGGAGAGGGAGGGGCGCGTGAACGACATGCAGTCGGCGCCTTCTGGGTCTTTCTTCCATTCCTTCCTCGCCCCAGTCCAACAGCCACTTAAACAGCAGCCATGGCGACGAAGAGCGTACGTTGGTCCACTGTCACCGTCTACGAGTTCGGGCATCGGCGGCAGTGCAGTGCCTCGACGCGGCGGTCCAGCGGTGGGGCTGGCTCGAACCCCGCAATGTGTGTGGAGGACGTCAGTGGACGCGGCGCAGCATCAGCTGGAGAAAACACAGGCGGAGGACAGGCAGGCAACCGCAGGACGACGTCGGCGGAGACGCGTGCGCTGGTTCAAGCCTCTGGAGCGCATCACGATGCTGGAGAAGGCAGGCTACAGCGAGGAGCGTATCTTCCGCATGCTCATGGAGTCGTCCAGCATCGCCCAGTCGCGACGGCTCTGTCTGCGTGTCGAGTGTGTGGCCTAAGTTGCATTTTGCACGTGCCGACTACGACCGAGGGAGCATGAGATGGATTTATCAACGCTGGGGTGCCGGAGACGATGGTGCTTGGAAGGAAGAATCAAAGGGCGAAGGCAGGATGAACTATTTAACTTATGAAAATGTAATGATTGAACAGCTAGCAGTTTCATTGACTTGCTACGAAGCATTGCTCTCTACCTGCGAAGACACATTAGGAGGCTACAAGCTGTGATAGTCATCACGAAGTCTTGGTCGGCGATAAGATGACGTGAGGAAAGCAGACGAACTGGTGTCCAACAGGCTCACAAAACTCAAGCAGCAGCTAAATCGCCTCTATAAAATAGTAAATAGTTCTTCATTGTGATCCTTACTCTACTTGCTCGTGGCCTCTTCGATGCACCGTAGCACGAGGCAGAAAGCCGCCCCCAACTCTCGTTCTTGCTCATGACAAGTCGATTTCCTTAGCGATACTGACTTCCCTTCATGCAGAAACTTGCCGCTGCATCGAGACGCAGAGCCTCCTGGACATGGCGATGTCGGAGCTCTCCATCATCATGCGGTAGATGCGCTCCTCGCTGCAGCCAGCCTTGGTCAACATCGTGATGCGCTCCAGCGGCTTCAGCCAACGCACTCTTCGAGCACGCTGCACGCGGGGCTTGCGCTGCTCATTCCGGTCCGCACTGCCCGCGTTCTCTTTCTCCTCGGTTGCAGCGCAGCCAGGGCGCGTAAGCGCAAGGTCCCCACAGCGTCGCACCTTGTCCAGCGTTGTGCTCCACACCTCCTGCGGCGTCCGGGCCAGGCCGATTGACGGGCCGCCACGGCGCGGGACGGCGCTGCCTCCCAGTGCTACGCCGAACTCATACACGGTCACGGTGGACCATTGCACGCTCTTCGGGGCTGTCTTCTTCATGGGCATTGTAGTCCTGTGCCTGTCGTCTAGGTGTTCTGGAAGCTTGCGGCGCCTTGTGTGTCTTTGGGGGCGGCCAGAAGCGATCGAGAATGGCAGAAACCCCAGCCGACCGGTTGTGCTCACTCTCTTTCCCTCGCGCCGCTCTCTTTCTCGCTCCTTTTGGGGCGACGGGTTCCAAACGGCGACACCATACTCAGACGCAAAGGTCGACGTCACTAAACGCCCGCCACCTGCCCCTGCCCCCTTCTGTCGACAACGGCGACCGTACTGGCTTGAGCTCACCGCATACTTTAGCGCTGCTGCTCTGTTCCACGTCCCAGCTCGCGCACGATTGGCGAAAAGTTCAATTTTGAGCTCTAGGATTGGCTGAAAGCAGATCGTCTGGGATGTGTGGGGGATGAAGCCACAATGTCTTATAGTTTAGGCTAAACGTGTCCTGCAACCTAGAAGCGATTCTTAGCAAGGAGATTTGTTACCGAGCCGCAGGTCAGGTTGCGTAATTCACGGTTTTGTTTTTCTCTGCTATGCCGAGCGGCGCTAATTTTGCTGCTGGTCGCCTAGCATTGTATTTCTAGAAGAGAGCAGCTGTGCTCTCTTCCTGTACTTATGATCTACGAAAAACACTTATCAAGAGGAGAGTCAATCGGTTTCCAAATTGTCGTTGGGGAGGCTCGATAGTTAATCAAAAATGGCGTCGTAGTATGTTTCATCAACGAAGAAGCTATTCAACGTGTCTGAACCGAAGACAGGCATGTCATTGTCAGTGCCCTGAGCTCTGCACCATAAGTTATGGCCCACAACTGCACATACCAATGGCATCAAAAGAACGAGTATGATACTTAAGTAGCTAACAACGGTTGAGTAAGTAGATATCTCGGGCGCAGTGCTAAAGGTCGTATTCATGGCCTTCAACTTCGAAAAAGTTGCCTAAACCGTTTTCTATAGTTTTATTTAGCGGTAGAACCTGTACCCACATTTATTTAGATTTTGAGCCCATCTTGACTAAGTACACTGTACGACGATCCAAATCAGGTTGTTTCAGATACCGGTATGGCGTTCTTCCACACATCCATCAGTCATTCTCGCTTTCAACCGCTACGATTTGTGTCGTTTTTAAAATGTCCGGGGCGTACGTGGCCAAGAACTTGTTGGCAGTATCGCTGTTACAGCTTTGCGCCATGGCCGTCGTGGGCAGTGGGAGCGCCAGTGGCAGCGTCGACGACCCATCCGACGACAGCTCCAGCTCTCTCGAGGGAGTGACGGAGCTGCTGAGCTCAGCCAAAGGCGTCAAAGTGGGGCCAGCCGTTTTGGCAGCCATCGCTGTTGTAGGTGGCGGCGTCGTGTGCCTAGCGGGCTACCGACTCTTCCGTCCCACCGTCTTCTGCTGCGCCTTTATGATCGGTGGCCTCTTCGTCGCTGGTATCATCGAGGCGGCCTTCGCCAGCATGAGCTGGATGCCCACGGCTTCGTGGATTGGCTTTGCCGTCGGCGGCGTCATTGCCGGTGTGGTCGTGCTCATGCTTTACAGTGCCAGCATCTTCCTGGCCGGCGCAGCAGGCGGTGTCATGCTTGCTTTCACTATCAACACGTCGGTGGGCATTAAGATCTATCCGGACAATCCGGACGTGATTTTGGTCGTCTTGGCGGTGGTATTGGGCATCATGGTCGGCATCCTGGCGCTCAAATTGGAGAAGCCTGTGCTTATCGCCACTACAGCCATCGTCGGCGCCACGATCTGCGTCTGGGGCGTCGGCTATTTCGCCGGCGACTACCCGAACGGCGCCGATCTCAAGCAGTTCCGAGCCCAGGACGACAAGGGCGACTGGGTCTACAATATTCCGGACGCCTGGTGGGGATACCTGGCTGGCATGATCGTGCTCTTCATTCTAGGCATGAACGTACAGATCAAGAAGACGGCGCGCGGATACGACCACAGCGGCAAGTCAGAAACCCACGCCATCTCGAAATCCACCGGCAATGCAGCCGTGTAAGATGACGACAGCAAACAGACACGCGAATGGCGCTGTTTCTGAATGTCTGGGGCTTGTCCTGCGTGTACTTTGTAGGCAGCGTTGGGCACGCATTCGTGGGATAATATAAACGTAATGCATTCCTCCTAGTGGTCTTCTGGTCTTCATGTCTAGCGACTTCAACACGAAGCATAATCTCCTTGATCAACAGACTCACAGTTTATCTCCGTCGCTTGATTATTCTCCGTGTAGAAGGATGTCCACCACAGTTTCGTCACCGTTAGCAGATCCCTGGATTTTTTTTCTCTATCAATACCGCAGCGGTACGTTGGACAGGTGTCTCGAAAACGATCGATGCATGCCTCTCTCACTCTTCAATCTCCTTGCTGGAGCTCAAAACTCGACTTCATCGATACATCATGACAGTGACGCTGCACTCGTTATTGCCAGCACTACTATGCCTGCAGCTCGTCTCGGCCATATCGGACGACGACACCACCGCAACGGTCAAGACCATCTTCGACTCTGGTGATGGAATGGACATTAACGGCGTTATTCTGGCTATTGGAGCGCTGCTAGTCGGTGCTCTACTGCTCGTAGCTGGGTATCGTCTATGGCAAACAACTGTCTATGCGTTAGGCTTCCTCGGTGGCGGTGTAGTCATCGCCGTCATCTTCGAGAAGGTCTTTAAGGACGAGACGTATGTGCTTACAGCCTCGTGGATCGCCTTTGTAGTCGGTGGCATTATCATTGGCTACATCTGCGTGTACATCTACTGGGTGGGCATCTTCATGGGCGGAGCGGTCGCTGGTGCATCGCTCGCCATCCTCGTCAACACGTCGTTCGGCTACAAGTTCGCTCCGTCTCATCCGGCCAGCGTTCTCATTGTGCTGGTCGCTGTGTTTGCCATAATCGGCGGTGGCTTAGCCCTGTGGCTACAGAAGCCAGCGCTCATAGCAGGCACGAGTCTAGTTGGGGCATTCCTCGTGTTCTGGGGGATCGGATACTTTGCCGGCAATTATCCGACATTTAACGACCTGGCGCGCTTCAGGACGTACAACTCGAGCGGGGATCTGGTCTACTCCATCCCTGGGGCTTGGTGGGGCTACCTCATTGGTACATTGGTGGTTTTCGGCTTCTCCGTAGTGCTCCAGTTCCGGTTTACGGTCGAGTACCACACGTTGGATCGACGATACCGCGACGAGCAGGACGTGTTGCCTCGTCATACAGGCGACATGACGCCTGCGAGAGTGCAATACGCTAATATGGACACACCAGCCGTACAGACTCAGTACCAACAGCCATTCAACCAACAGCGCTATCCAACTTCTAACCAGGTGCAATGGGAAGACCTGCAAAGGCAACAACCTACGCGACAGACTGCAAGTCAAAGCCAGCCGCAGAGCTACGTGGATACGTCGCTGGTGCAGCCGCAGTACCAGCAGCGCCAGCACGACTACCAGATCTCCGATATTGTTCCCAACACGGCCCGACCACATTTTTCCGAGTCGAGAACGCCTCCTAATCGAGCTCCGAGCGTGCCACAGTCCCACATCGTCTAAATAATGAATCCTATTTTGCCCTCGATATTGTAAATCTTATCATGTTGAAGCTACTACTGCAGACATGCGTCTTGAGGCAGAGGAGATAGTCAGTAAGTACCAGTATAATACCGGTTATAAAACCGTTCCCGTTTCAAAAACCGTTCCCGTTACAAATCGCGCTCCCGTTACAAATCGTGCTCCCGTTACAAATCGCGTTCCCGTTACATCTACCACTCTCAGATCTCCAAAGCCTCAAATGGAGAAACTACCAACAGGGCCATTGCTTCCGCATGGCTATCTGCCTGTGAGCCTTGTGCTTCCTGATACGGTAGTTCTGTCGCTCCTAGCGGAAGCCAAAGCGCGTCCGTACAATGGTTTCTTTAATCGCGTGGGTGGTAAAGACGACAACTTCCGACAGCGAACGCGCGTGAGCTCTCGCACGCTGTCAGCGCCTCTAAGGGAGTTGAGCAAGGCTCTAAAGGTGGTTGTCGCCATGCTGCGCCCTGGGTGGGAGCCTGGTGTTTTCTCTTTCATGCGGTCGGTGCCTGGGGGCTCAGAACAGGAGCCCCACCAAGACTACCAAGAGAGTGACTTGGTGAGAGCCCGTAACCTTCGCCCGGATGGTGTTCCATCCAGCATGATTTTAGCTTTGGAGCCCGGCACGAAGCTCCGCATCTATGCTGGTTGCTTTACTGCAAGAGACAACTCCAAGGCGCGCGTCGTGGACATTCCGGTTGGATTCGCTGTTCTCTTCAGAGGTGACCTCATACACAACTGAATGCCGTACACCACAAGTAGCTACCGCATTTACTGCTACCTTACCTACGCAGAATTGAAATGGACACCAGATATCGTTCAAGACGCACTTCCTGAACACGGTGAGTGTAAGTTTTGCGGCAAAAAGGTGGAGAAGGGTCAAGAAATTGGAAACACCGCTTCTACTGCGAAAAAAAACCAAGGGGGCTGCGAACAAACAGAAGCGCAAACGTGAGTACGAGGAAGGTGAGTACAAATGTGTGGTGTGCGCTGATGTGTTCAAGCACCAGAGCTCGCTACGAGTCCACAAGATGAGGGAACACCCCGCTTAGAATTGACACGTACGGGTAGCTTAAATGAATGGAAGATAATAAACTACCTGACCGGACAAAATTATGCTTACTCGTTTTTAATTGGTCGAGCTCTTCAACTTTGGTTTTGCGCTCCCGTTACAATTAGCGTTCCCGTTACAATTCTTCTTTTTAATGTGAAAAATACCTGTTTTCTCTGCGGTTTGTTGTTTGGTGTCATCCACAATGTATTGACGGAATTACGAATGTGTTTAAACGACGTCTATTCCTCTCTTTCTCTCTGATATAAGTAAGGTTCTCTTCCTGCATACCCCCACGGCCTCGCTGTAACGGGAACACGATTTGTAACGGGAACGCGATTTAAAACGGGAACGGTTTTTGAAACGGGAACGGTTTTTATAACCGGTATTATACTGGTACTTACTGACTATCTCCTCTGCCATCCCAATCGTGTACTTTTTGTGCGAGGGCCCTCCCGATGAGGGCCCTCGTTAGTTTCTCCCAGTGTCGAAGTGTCGGTGATGTCGTCTCCAACTGCTAGTTGCAAAGCCACTTGGTAACCAGCGTAGATGGCTGACGAGATGATCATCGAGATCCCCGCGACGATCGTTGTGGCTTCAATTGTACCGAATCCACTACCGTCTTGGAACATGACGATGAGGATGACACCGAAGAATGCAGTGAGCACGCCCAATATCTTGTTGAGGCTCAAATGCTCGTTCAAGAAGCAGACGGACAAGCAGTACACGAATAGCGGAGAAGAGTTGGAGATGGCTACACCCGCTGCTACACTCACTTGACTCAAAGCGGCATAATAAAAGAAGTCCGAGATCAGGTAAATCAGACTCAGAACATCCGAAATGTACACCAGTCTGGGTAAAGGGATCACGGAATGACGCTGCAAGATGTCAACCAAGTCTGCGTATTGGTCAACTGAACTTTCGTACAGCTTGTAATAGCCGACGATCATGGGGAGGAGCACAACCTACGAGATGTACAAGTGAGAACTCCTTAAACGCCATGAATCCTTTAGTACAGCGTACCGGAGCTGCGTGGTTGAAACACGCTAAGAAGAAGGGTTTGTTGAAGAAAAGCTGCACAAACAGTGGATAGTTTATAAGTGTCTGATATACACAACCAGACATGCTTTGGCTACCTGGAGTGACTGCGAAGCCTCAGCCTGCAAGACCCAGGACCAGATGAGTGCTAACATCTACAAACCGGTGAGATACCGTGGCGAGAACACACAACACTTGATCGCGTAACTTACCGATGAGCGCAACGAAGCTCGCGTATTTGGCAGGTCGAGATTGGTTGGCTTCTTTCTTTAGGTCAACTTCAGAGTCAAGTAGCTTAGTCGTGTCCGTGGCAGTCGGCCAAGCAGGAGCCACCAGGGCATGGGAAATACAATACCCAGTGTTATTTTGCGTGAATCACATCCGTAATAAAGACTGCAATACCTGGCAACACAATAATAATCACTGCAATAATCACAATATTTTGCTATCACTTAGTCTTTGATGCAACCGAGAAGGGTGGAGCAGTTCCACATACGGCGATTAGCACGAAGAAACATGGCCGTTTCAAAATTAGCTGGTAAAGTAGATGAACGTAGCGATGTAAAAACAAGCTTACACTCAGAGAAAAGTCTCTCGCACGTGTTGCTTGTCGGAGGAGCGCAGAGCAGGAGAGGATCATACTCGACAGACGCCTGCGATGCAAGCCGCGGCTTCTTGGCTTGCCGGAGGATGGAGGTCGCGAAGTCCGCCGCAGTCGGCACTTCCTCTTGTGCGGTAGACGGAGATAAAATAAAACTGTCGACTGCATGTAATTCATCCGCGGAGAGGGGTAGGTCGTTTTGCAGCTTCACTATTGCAGACTCGAAATGGGGCGAGTGAACAATCTCAGCTGTTGGCGCTAAGTAGTTAGCCATGACAGGATACTTAGCAGCACACGCATCAAACAACAGGCGCACCTCGGCAAGCGTGCATGACTCCGCTTGGATTTTCACACACACACTGTCCAGCTCACGAAGCTTGTCCAATACACCTCTAACGCGGCGGTGCGCATGTCCACGAGGCACAAACTCTTCAACAGCCTCCACCGTCAGGATCGCATCACGGATCTTGCAATATCGGTCAATCATCTGGAATGTAGACGACCAGCGCGTAGTGTTTGCCTTAACAGGCTTGTAGTTGGTCGCCTTTGCCAGTGCAGTAGCATTTTTGACATGACGCAGCTGAATCATCAGGTTTTGAATCAGATCTATCTGAGTCTGATAATCCTGTAGAAATCGATTAACCGCGAGGTTAAATCGATGACTTGCACAGCCAATGAGGGGGACGCCCATTCGTGTAGCCATACTCTGATTGGTTGCACAATTGTCCCCCACAACATAGCGCACCATCTGCAGGTTCTTCTCGTACACGCTCAGTACGGTGGATAAATGATCCAGGTGGGCTTCAGCTGTCTGGCCGTCTTCCATTGGCGAAAGCGCAAGAAGGCGCTGGTGGCGCACACCATTGTAGACGTAGATCGCGTAGATGCCGAGGAAGTGAAGTGAGTGACTAGTCCAACCGTCGAACATTAAAGCAAAGGAAGTTCCCATCTCCTTTGCAATGATTGCTCCAACGGCTAGAGCCACATGACGCATGTACCGCTTCAGTGTCTTGGTAGTCGTAGGCTTCATTGTAACTACAGCACGCGTAGCCTTGTTTTCCACTTCAGTGATTGGTAGATTTCTCTCGATCACCCATACCATCCATTGGTAGATATTGCGCGTCACATCGTCCACAAAACCAAACGTGGTAAGTGCTGGCGTCTGCGTGGCATGAAGTTCTGCAAACCCAGCAGCATACCCAGCGTGCTTGCTGTTAAGGTGGCTGAGGAGGTTGCTGTACCCCGTGCCGGGCGTCTGCTTCCGAGGAAGCCCACAGGATTTACACTCAAAGCGACCTTCACCGAGGTCGCTGAAGTAAAATGCGCAGAGTTGACGGGAGGTCATCGTGGGTAGCGTGGTGGGTAGCGTGGCTAAGAGTGGTGGCTTGTTCTCTAAAGAGAAAATTGAGAAGTGGGGAGTGTGTGAATCAAAGCGCGCAGAGTGTATTTGCAAGGCAGTAGAGAACTGTTGGTTGTCAGCGCTCCTGGAAATGGTTGGAAGCGTGTAAAATATTGTATTATTGTGTACAGTTATGTATTATATTTATCTTGGAAAAATCAATAGTAAGTTATTCCGTAAATATAATACCCGTAATATTGTTATTATACTATTTTTCTTATGCCCTCGACGTTCGTACGAGTCATCTTAGTCTCAATCGGCGAATCTTAGAGTGAAAACTTAGTGGTAATGTCCAGAGAAATTTCAAGCGCCGACTAGCGCAGCTCAACGCCAGTAGCGCCTCGAATGGACGGATATGTAGCATCTGACACGTCGACCGCGTCGGAGACCACAGCGTTCAATGATCTGGAAGCTTGTGGTCATGGAAGCTTCGGGTCAAGAGTCTTGACTATCCCAATCGTGTACTTTTTGTGCGAGAGGTTATTAATAGTTTCTCCCTTCGACACTACTCATACTGGCTGGTCTGTGTGTCTCTTTACGTTCCCGCCGTGGATTTTGGGTACATTTCTTCTATAATAGCTGAAAGTCCCTTCTCATGGCTACATGAGTCTCTCGCGTTCCCAGGAACAGCAGAAGGCGTGTTCCTCTTGGTCAGTAGCGGTGCCTTGACGGTTGTCTTCTGGGCGTTCTTACCCTTAGCGATCTGCTGGACTTCGCCACTGGAAACCAGCGTGGGATGCATGTTGACGATCCCGCTGTCGGGTCTGATGGATACATGTATCCATCACACAAAGTTCTCGTGGGAATGTATCGTCGGCTCGGTGCTGGTCATGGCAGGCTTTGCAATCCCACCACGAAAAAAACCTCACAAGAAGAAACACCACATGCGTCAGCTTGGGCGTAAGAAAAACAAAAACAAATATCACAATAGAAAAACAAAAATATCCTGACATACTTCAAGTTCTACTACATGTACACAACTGGACTCATGTTGACGTAGAATGTTTCGCAGCCGCAGCCACAGCTAACATTTTGTTCTGAATAGCTTCCGTGACTTCGAAGAAGCCATCCAGCCCGAGGATCGACGCGAACGTGCCGTCCAGATCAAGCAGCTCAATGTGTGTAGCCTTACACTCTGCCAGTAATAGAGTCGTCGACTCCACGGAGTCATGAATCGCCCGGCCGTCAACGTAAAGTTTGGGCAGAAGGTGCTTGACCGCAGCCGCGTAGATTTTGCAGTTCGTCAAGCTGTGGTGATCAATCGCGCTGTTCCACAGAAGAATACTGGCTAATAAGTGGCAGAAAGCCAACGCCGGGAGCTCCTCCTTCGTCGACTGATCTTCCAGCCATGACCAGTCCGCGAAAAACACATACGGCAACTTGGTGAGCGTGTGGTTCCACAGATACGCAAGAACTTTGGCTCCAAAAGCGTTCAGCCGGAAGGTGCCCCACTGAGGACATTCACTCGATACTGCGAGCACGTCAAACATCAGGGTGAACAGATACACGGCCGGAGACGCGTCCACGTTGCACTTCATGGCTGGTAAGAACGATCCGTAGTGGAGCTTGCGAGCCAGAATCCACATGACGGCCTCTTGTCGTCGACTCCAGGCGTAGATGACGTCGTCCTTGTCCGCAGAGATGGATAACCCTGCGGGATTAACTGCCAGTTCCAGCTTCTCCGCCGTCAACTCGTCTAAAGTGGCAGCTTTCTTGGATAAAAACTCGACCAGAGCTTCAGCCCATGAGAGATGGATACCTTTCACCACGGTGCTGAACTTGGCGCGCATAACAGCGGCGTTGACTGCGCCAGCAGGGCGAGAAGCGTTCGTATCGTTCGTCTCCGCCACGTTTTGGCCATTGAGGATCACTGCTTGGAGAACACACTGCGTCAAATACACTGGGAAGCTCTGTAAGAAGCCATGACGACGCTGGAAGCGCAGCGCGCGTGGCATTTCCACACACTCGTCGGCATTTAATTGGGTAAAACAATTCGTCCACTGGACATCAAGATCGGGGGCGCCACCCAAGCAAAAGTACAGCAATAAACCCGTTTGTAGGTCGGCTTCTTTCTCCAAGAGATCACTGGTTTCTACGTGCTCGGTATTGCCGGTATCAGGTGGGTTCACCATCACGACGTCGGCTGTCCGCGCTTCGTCCTCGTCCAACACTACGTCCGGAGGGGCTCTGGCCGCTGCTTGTCCTTCTTCCACGTCCTCTTCTTCGTCTTCGTCGTCGTCGTCTTCTTCAATGACGATAACCTCTGGAGCCCTACGGGGCTGGCGAACACGGCGGAACGGTAGACCTGCTTGCTCCTCTCGGTTGTTCTCTGCACTGTCGTTCCTGTTGTGCGCTGGATTGGCGGGTACTGGCGGCGCATTTGTTAGTTCCGTAACGTTGTTTCTTCCCGGCGCAAGAGGATTGTCACCTTCTGGGTTGTAGCGCTGGTCGTTGCGAGGGTTTCGACGGCCATTGGCAGCCGCTGGATCATGGCCAGGTGCTCCCCACGGTGGTCGACGCGGAGGACTGCGACTACAGCTGCGACTTCTCCTTCGAGGGGTCCATCTGATGCGATCTTGAGGCGGAGGCTCAAACGCTGGAGCTGCTGCGTTATCAGGTGCTGGCTCATAGCGTGAGGGTCTCTCTCGACGGCTGCGGAAGGCTGGCGGCGGCGGAGGAGTCAATATTGGTGGAGGGTTCGGTCCGTGGCGCCAGTTGGTCGGTCCACGGTCTCGCTGTTGCGCTCGAGCTGCTCCCATGTCGTCTTCCAGTCGTCTCATCCTCTGGTTGAACTCTCGGTGGTCGCCTTGCACGTCAAAGATAGCGTCTTTGAGTCGACTGATCTCGGTCGCATGCAGACGAGAGTCGTGACTAAGAGCGTCAAACAGCTGCGTGCTCAGCTCTTGCAGTCTCGATTCAAAGCGTTGCTTCTGTTGACTCCCATGAGCTTCTGTGCGCTTAGCCAGCGACGTGAAATCCACCCCCACGGTTTGGAGATCACGGTTGATACGACGCAGCTCGTCGTGGATCCCCGCGACATCTCCTTGACGAACCAGATCCCGTGGAAGAGGCGGCGGTGGCGGCGGAGACTTCGGATGAGTCGGCGCTGCAATTGGCGCTCTGGAGCCCACGTCGTCCACTTTCCTGTCGATATCCAGGACGTTGTTCTCCGAGTTGGTCACGCGTCTCTCCATGTCGATGAGTTTATCCTCGAATGTGTTGAGATCTAGTCGGGTACGTCCCTGTTCGTCCTGGTTGTCCCCGTTCCCATGACCTCTAATTGCTGCTGCATAGTGAGTACCTCTTGGCGTGTAGCCATCTGCGCGATCTTCTTGTTTAGTTTGCTGTTCTCCTCGCTCAAGCTCTGCATCATGCGGACCATGTTCTCCATCTGTTTCTTCTGTTTCTTCTCATCTTGTAAATGAGTGTCTAGTTGTTTCTGCTGAACGTCCAATACGGCGTCATGATCTTCTCGTACTTTAGTGAGTTCATTCTCGTACTGCTCCTGGAGTTCTGTGAGCTGCGTCATGAGGAACTCCTCGTTGATGCTGCTCTGTCTGTATCGCTCCATTTTCTTCTCCATAGCTAGAAATCGCTTGTGGAGTCTGTCTAGCTCCGCATTAGCGGCCTGGAGCTTGGCCTGAGTGTTCTGTGCGGCCTCGTCCTTGGCTTTGGTGGCCGCGACCGCCGCCTTCGCCTGTGCAGCGCATCGCTCAGCCTTCTCCACTGCGGCTTCGGTCGTATCGTCCACTTTCTCCAGCTCAATGCGCACGCGCGCGCCCTCACGCCGGATCTCCGACATGTCGATGGTTAAGGCGCGATACCACTTTTCGAGCGTCTCCAACTGCGCCTCCACTGGAGACGAGGTGGAGGATGTGGACTTTGGCTTATTCAGACGCTTACGCTTGCGCTTGTTGTTGGGCTCCGAGCCCCGCGGGGGCGGCGTACGCACCGTCGCCATCGCCACACGGAAGTTAGGATACTGGAGCCAAGGAAAACGGCTCTAGCTCATGTGGTGTGGTATACGTAAATATGTGACGTTTGAAGACCTAAAAAAAGGGACATCCAGCACTGCAGTCTACATGTACAGGCATGAGCTGGTGTAAATTGAATATGAAGACGTGGGATGACTGGGGGGATTTAATCTCCAATCAATTCATTCGAGATCTTGCTTCGGACGACGCACGCCATGAGCTCACACCAAGACGTCGCGGCCCCTCGCTGGGAGGAAGCACTCGCAGACGCGCACAGCCCAGTAAGGATGTCTCGCAGGAGCGGCGTTGTGCCTGTAACGAAGCCCGTGCCTAATGAGCACACCAAGCTGCTAGATGAGGACATCGAACTGGAGAAGGAGACCAAGAAATATTTCCACACAAAGCACGTCGGACTGCTCGCTCTGCTCGGTAAGATGGAAACAAAGATACTTTCCATTATGGAACTCACACAATCTAACTTCATCTCACTGTAGTGGTGATTTGGTCGACTATCTTTCAAGCGGAAGCCGTGCAGCACCTGCAGGTACAAGTATCCTCTAACTATGACTTTCGCTATCAGCAATCTAACACCTTTATATCATCAGACGGCTGTTGATTTCAAGAAACCTTTTTTCGTAATGTGCTCCAGCCACGCTGCACCCGTAAGACTTGTCCAGATCTACATGTAGTGTACCAGCTCTATTACAGCTTACCAATTATGTGTACAGGTGTTATTGTTGCCGTTCATCTTCGCTTACTACCGCATCTGCGGCACGACAGAAGATCGCCATGCTGGACTCGACTTTGCTGGCGTGTTGCAGCGTCACTCGATCGTTCCGTTGAAGAAGCTGATGCGTTTGTCAGCGTTCCTCGGCGTGTTCTACCTCGTCGCCGACTACTTTTGGTTCGCGTCGTTGCAGAACTTGACGGTGGCTGCAGGAGCTGCCATCTTCAACAGTGCGCCTCTGTTCGTGTACTGTTTCTCGATCTGTTTGCTAAACGAGAAAGTGGTGGCGAAGAAAGTGTTTGGCGTCTTGCTGGCGTTTGCTGGTGTGACGATGGTCGTGCTGTTTCAAGGAGGGGACGACGCAGGAACCGGAAGTCCCAGCGTGATCGGAGGACTCATGATGGTCATTTCGGCAGTGCTGAACGCAGGCTACAACGTGTCGGTGGCTCTCACTGCGGGCGCAGAGATCAATGACACGCCGACGCTCATGATCATGATGGGAATGAGCGGCGCGTTTGCGATCCCGGCCTGGTTTGTCGGCACCATTTTCTTCGCGCACAGTCCATTCCCGTCGCTCTATGAGCCGATCGGGTTCCCACCAACAGCTGAAGGAAACCTCATGCTGGTGATCGCTATCGTCATGTTCGTGACCAACTTCATCTTCCTAACGTTTGCCGTCTGCTGGACGTCGCCACTGGAGACGAGTGTTGGCTTCATGCTCACGATCCCGCTGTCGGGACTCATGGACACGTTGATGCACAGCACAACGTTCACGTGGGAGTGTATTATTGGGTCCACGTTAGTGATGACCGGGTTTTTAATCCTCGAGCTGAGCTCCACGCACCCACCAACGCACCACTCTCACGAAGAATTGACCGAAAAAGTTCAGGTTTAGTCGAGAGAATGAAATGACTGCAATAATCGCTTTATGGTTCTGACTCAATTTTTCACAAACAGCAACTTGCTGACTCAGAATTGAGTTAACCCTTTCGTGATCTACCGTTGTCAACAACTGTATCATGCGACTACTTCGCATTACGAGCGCTCCACTCGCGATCGAATACGCTGAGACTGCGCTGCGCCGTCGGCACGACGTCGATCGCCTTGACCATCACACGCTCAGGCTTCTCCAGCACCCACGAAATGGCATCAGCAATATCTTCGGACACCAGCGGCTCGTAGCCCTCAATGAACTGCGAGTACATATTCTTGTCGAAGCCGACACGTTGCTCGTGGAAATTCGTCGCTACAACACCAGGACGCACCACCACAACCTTGATGTTTGTACCGCAGAGTTAATTGCGAAGCGAGTTTGAAAATCCCTCCTGCGCCGCCTTGGCCATATGGTACACAGCTTCACCAGGGAACGGCGGAGCCTCCAGCGCAGTCACAGACGTCACGTTCACGATCACACCTCGCTTCTGTGCGAACATACCGCCCTGGTTGAGTGCCGCATGCGCAGCGAAGAGCACACCGCTTACGTTGGTCCCCACCATCATGGAGATGTCGCCTATCGACTGGTCTTGAAAGCATGCCGGTGCACCGAGTGCGAGACCAGCGTTGTTGATCAGAACGTCAACGGGTCCGCCCAATTGCTCGACCGTGTCAGTCATAGCTGTCGCCAGCGCGTTGCTGTCCCGTACATCGAACGAGAAGTACACGACACGACCGGAGCCTGGCACGCTCTGCAGCTCTTCGACCAACTGCATCAACTTGTCTTTGGATCGAGCGAGCAACGCCAAACTCGCTCCTTCTCGAGCAAATCGACGGGCAGTCGCAGCGCCGATGCCCATCGACGCGCCGGTAATAACAGCGATTTTTCCCTTCAGCGACATAGAAGGAAGAGGAGGATGTTGGGAAGACGTGATGCACTTGAGATGGCAAGATGGTAAATGGCAGTTGAAAGTCACAAGAAGTTTTGATTAGCCCCTGAGCTGGATTATGGTGCCCGACGTGTTAGTGCATGCACATACTGTACCTATGGTACCTGTACCTGTAATGTTGTCAACCAAGATGATTATGGTGCCGATCTGCAACATCTGACAAATGTGGTTGTCACTGACAACCAACGGCGTAGGGTTGCAGTTTCCTACTTCGAAGTGTGTCCGTAAAATGGTCGTCTTTTAAGTGTCTCCTTACGTTATAAGCGCTGCGCTATGGATTGTTCGGTCGGTCACCCGACATGCGGCGGGTGCTACGGAAGCAGGACAGCTCCGCTCTCTCTCTCTCTCTCTCTCTCTCTCTCTGCTACCCAGCACCTTCGCCAATCCAGAATAGTCGATGCTGTTCCAGAAGTCGCCGCTCCAGTTGCTCTGCGTTGGAATTGTTCTGGTCCTCATGCTCCTCTACGATGACGAGCCACATTGAACAATGTTAATACACCGTCACTCCACGGGCGTCCCCCTGCCAGTGGATCTGGACACACGGGACGTCCGGTTGCACTAGACAAGGTGGTCGCGTACCTCCGTAGACGCTGAGACGGCCATACAGGCTCGACGAACACGACGAGTAGTGTGGGCTTTCGCACGGCTGAATCAGACGCTGGTCCGCCGCTGGAGCGTCTTCAGCTGAAAACATCCGCCAGTTCTCGTCGTCTGAATGACCTGCGCTTGAGTTGCTAGATCCGGCGCTGCGAGGGCGGCCTGGGCGTGCCATTTGGCCTTGTATCACTCCAGGACAGTAGCTATCGTTATCAAACCCATGCTCGTAATGAGGTAATTCATCGTGACACTGCCGTGTAGCCATAGTCATCGAGTAGCCAGTCTTGCGAGGGTTTGCAGAAGGAATGTTCATCCACCGGTCGTCCTTGTGAGCGCCAACCGCCCTGGGTTCAAGTGGCACGGGTCCTATTGGATTACTTCGAGACAATCTAGGGCCCACACGCGCCATACTGGGCACCAAATACTTCGTGCGTTCCTTGAGTCTGTGCATGTCTCTAAGAATCCCACACATGCCCGACCTGATCTCGTCCATTTCCTCGGTAATCCGCTCGGCTTCATTGTCCTGCACCTCTCGGACTTGAGCCATTTGCCTCGATACGAGATTCTCAAGTTGCCGCCGGAGCGACTGGTTCTCCTGCATTAACGCCTGCTTAAGCTGGAACATCTCGGCGTGCAGGTCGTCCAGTTGCGCTAGTGCTAGGTTTATCCGCGCCGTCGTCTCCACTTGCACACGTCCTACTGTGCTACTGGACGACGGAGCTGACGCGACTGAGCCGTCGTGACTCACCTGTGCTCGGTAGCCACACACTGCCTCCTTTAACTCATCGATCTGTTGCCGCTTCTCACCCATCGACACGTCGAAAGGTTCTGGTTCTTGGTCTGTGGCGCTCGCGAGGTCTCCGAGTCTTGTCACCAATTTATTCATCTCCTGAATGCACTCGTGTCTGAAATTCTGCAGCTGAGAGGCCGTCAGTCCTCGACAGCGCTTCAGAGTGTCCACCTGGGCCGAGCAGTTGGAGATCTGGGTCAACGACTCCTGAATCAGCGCTGCATTCTTCGACGATCGCTCCTGATACTCCTTCTGCAGAGTCGCCAGTTCATTAGCTACTGCATTCAACGCGCCCAGTCCCAGCAGCAACTGGTGTGTTTCTTCCTCTCGCATAGAGAACCTGTGCTTGAGTGACGCTACGCTGAGCTGCAGCTGCTCGTTCCTGCGGCCAATAACTGCGAGGTCCGCTGTGATGTCTAGGCCGCCACCTTCGTCTTCAATCTCAAGTTCGACGCCGGTAATCGGGAACTGAGCTTTCTCTTCTCCAATCTGCCACTGTTCCAGTCCTAAATTTAAAAGAAAAAAGGTAAGAAAACAGATTATATGTTGGACAATATTGCCAATATCGCAGCATTCGCGCAGCTCAGTGAGTTACACGTACCGTAAGCTATTTGTCCTGGCGAGAAGGCAGCTGGTCCGGACGCTAGCACCGTCTCCGTCTTCTTCTTGTGTTGCGTCTCTTTGCCCACCGAAGACGCCACTCGCGGACGCTTGTTGGTGTCCCGCACGACGCAAGACTGTGCTGTTCCTCTCCCGGTAGATGCGACCTTCGTCTGCGGACGCTGCTTGAGCCTGCGGAGTGCGTTAGCGGCCTCGTTCGCGCTCACAGATGTGGCCATCTTCGTGGTGCTGCGTTTCTGAGAATAAAGAAGTCGTGTATTATACACTGACGGAAATGGCTCTTTTGTGATTGGACCATCGAATGTAGCCATCTTCAACTCTTATCGGCCAGTCATTTCCCGTAAAATGGTCCGCAAGAAGAGGAAAGGAGTGATTAAGGAGACGCAGGCAGACGGCGCTGTGGCCCCCAATGGCGTAGACCTGCGTCTGGTACTGGCAGATGTACCTGTGAACGCGGAACTACCCGCAGTGCTTGGTGGTGGCGACCTGACGGCGTGGTACGAGGCGCTGTGCTCAGCGAAATACAGTCTCTATGAGCAACTCAAGATGTTGCAGCTATTTCGGTCCAAGTGCAAGTTGCTGCCATCAGATGCGGAATCAGATTATAGCAACATAAGAACTTCAATCTGGCGACTGGTGTTCCGACTCAGCGTGGCTCCGCCCATGTATCCATTGCGAAAGAACCTAGGGCTGATCCTGGACGTCCTGGCACTGAGTGAGGCGTCTGAGTCCAGTAAGCTGCGTGTTGTAGCAGCCGAAGAGCTAAGAGCGTTTTTGGATTCATTGAGGACAGAATCAGATACTCAGAATCAGACACCTGAGCAGCGCGTCGCTCTACTAGACCGCATGCTGCACTTGGTGGAGTTCCCGTATCTTGCTCGCATCCTAGTGGAGAATCCAGTGACTGGAGGGGAGAATGGAGACGCTGAACATCTGCTACAGTTCGTAACGTGCTGTGCAGACCAACTAGAAGCTCTAGGAGCCCCCATTGTGGAGTACCATGAAGCTAATCAAGAGAGCGAGGAGATCGAGGAAGACACCGAAGCTGCCGCCTCAACGAACGTCGTTTTGGCTGCTTCAGAGCGCTGTGGCCACGCTCTCAAGAGCGTAATTGTATTAGCGACGATGAAGGAGATTTTGGACAGTCGGTTGCAGCAGTGTCGAGGCACGAACTTGGACAAACTGACGGAGGCTTTCCTCCGTATTGTGAGACACTGTGTCCTTCTGCTACAGACTAATGTGGTACACAAAGATCTACTCACACAAGCAGGCTTGGCGTACTGCTTGGTGCTGCGTATGCTGCTGCAGCTGACGATCAGCTCTAACGCAACGAAGCTACTGCTACAGACTGCGTATCCAGAGCTGAGTATCATCAGGTCTGATGCGTGCACTAACCCCCAGCTTCGAGCGCATATTGAGAAGGACGTGGAGACCTTTGGCGACCTGTCGAGACTCGCAGTGTGTCGTGGGTTGCTGAACAGCTTGGCTAATCAAGATCTAGCTCTTCCAGCGACGAATCTCGGGCTGGATGATGACTCGAAGACGGAGCAGAGTGTACTGGACGCGATCTTTACTGGAGTCCAGCAGTTCTGCGACCAGGAGTCGTACAACACGCGCTTGTTTGCGTTCCAGGTCCTCGAAGCGTTCCTCCGTCGTGCTGTGACGATCTTACAGCAGCAAAAGAAAGACCGAGACTCCAGTGATAAATACCCAGCGGCATTGGCAGTGGAGACGCTTACGAACCTCACGACTGCAGTGCTACTGAACTGGGAACACCCCTCGAAGAAGGTGAACCAGTTCATGGCTACAGTATTCGCTCATATCGTCCACTATTTCGTGCTTTCCGAAGGTTTCCAGGACTGGAGTGACGCCATCTTGTCACGGTTAGTAGAGCTCCCACCTACCAGCCGAGCCAAGTACGGGTCGCTCACGCTCTTGGTCGCTGAAGCTGGAGCCAAGCCTGTGCTTCAAGCGAGTCCAGCGCTGCTGTCGTCTCTGCTCTCGGCTGTGGGCCAAAAAGACTACGCTGCACCAGCCGCTGCCAATTTGTTTGCACAGATTCTCGACGATCTCAGTGGAGGCAACAAGAGCAAGAAGAAGACAGACGATGAGTCTGTGGCTGCGTGGCGAGAACTGTGGCTCCCGGATGTGGTTAAAGTGCTGCTCTCAAGTGACGCCAATCTACGCTCACGTGTAGCCATGTACGTGATTCCTCTGCTTTTGAAGAAGGACTCGGATTGTGTCCCAGTGTTGATCAAGCGGCTGCAAGTGGAAGCCACGAAGGAACAGGACGGAGACGCGGCTGACGTCGCTTTGTGGGCGGAGCTGGAAGTGCTGAAGTTTGCACGTAAGAAGATGGCTCCAGAGAAGCTGGTTGGTGTGTCAATGCACGAGATTGAACGAGGGCTTCGTCACGCCAAGACAGAGACGCGAGGAACCGCTTTTGATGCGTTGTGTGCGTCGCTCAAGTCGACTAGTATGCCCTCGGACGATGAGTTGCGCCTTGTCAAGTGCTATTTAGTGGTAAACGGGAAGGAAATCGGCCCTGCTGGCCGCATGAACACGCTGATTGGCCTCAAGACGGTTCTAATTCGCATCAAGGAGACCATGCGTCTCGCCGGTAAGAAGTCTGTGTCTTCGGAGCACGCCGGGCGAGATGAACTGGCGGCTGCTGTGTCGTTCAAGCACTGGGTGGAGCTTTTCGTCGTCTCTTCCGTCTATCCTGGTGCTCTTCCTCAGCGATTGACGTTGGGACTGGAGGTGCTTCTGCTGTACGTCCAGCTCTTCGGTCTCGAGTCAGAGTCTCCAAGTCTCTTGCGTACAGGACAAATGGTGACGACGCTGCTCAACATGCTCATCAGTGCGTGGGATTCAATCCGGTCGCTGGCGTTCACAGTCCTCGACTTGTATCCGGACGAACTTCCTGGCTACTCGACGCCTGAAGAACTCCGCACGCTCGTGGATTGGGCTGTCGGTCTCTGTGGCAGCCCGCGTCAACGTGAGAGCGACGCTGGAGCCATGTTCATCCGGCTGTTGTTCCAGAAGTGCAGCGCAGCCATGCAGCGCTACGGACTGACGCTCCAGCAGTCCGAACGTACTGCTACGGAAGCTTCCAGTACCAACCCCGACGTGGCGTTCGTTTTACAGCTGACACAAGTGATTCTCTCGCGTATTGAAGCGCTCAGCCCGGCTGAAATCCGCCGAGGCGAGTCTCCGCTTGTGCATGGCTTTCTACTGTCGCTACATTACGTGCTCGACAACATCGATTTTGACACGCTCTCCAGTAGTGACGCTGCGCACTGGCCGGCTGCGATGACGCAGATCTTCGCCGCTATTCACCAGTCGATGCGCGCGTCGCTTGCTGTGGTCGGTGACGCGACGTCAGGCGCTGGGGATAAAGAGCTGTCGGCTTCGTTTGCAGGTGTTGTGGGCGAGGTTAGTGCTGTGGCCAAGACGTCGAGTTCTGCGTTACGTGTGGACTGTCGCGGCCACTTGATCGTTGAGAACGGCGATGGACTGGAAGAGGAAGACGGGAACGCAGAGCAACGTGCTGTGGTGGGCAGCTGGCTGGCTGCTCGTGAATGTGGCGCTATCCTCGAGCTGCTGATGCGTCGCGTACCTCTCCCGAGCTCCAACTCAACGTCAGATAGCGTCACGTTCTTTACAGCGGAGATGGCGCAGCGTGGAGGCGAGACGCTGCTGAACTCGCTGTTTGAGCTCAAGCACAAGGGCGCAGTTGCGACAGCGTACCAGGCGTTCGAAGGAGTCTGTCGCGCGTTCCTGGCGCACGGAGAGCAGAGCCTAGTGCTTGGAGGCTTGCCTGCTCGTTGGGCTGATCGCTTACTGGAGCGCTTGGAGCGATCGGAGCAGCACTTTATCTTGCGTCGCAGCTCTGGCTTCGCGTTCAGCTTCGTGGCGATTCTTCGTGCTGAGCCGCGTAACTCTGCTGCTGTGATTCTGCCCAAGGTCATGTCGACGCTGCTGCGTCTCGCAGGAGAAGACACGGACGCGGCGGAGAGGCGGGACACGCACCAGGAACACCACTCGCTGTGGCGTGCCAGAGTGCACGCGCTGAATATCCTCAAGCTCATTTGCCAAGACGGCGTGCTAGCGGAAGATGTGGCACGCTATGTCGTGGACATGTTCGAGCTGGCTGTGCGTGGCTTCGACTGCGGGTCATGGGCTGTGCGCAACTCGTCCATGATGCTCTTCGCAGCGGCCACACAACGTGCGATCGGCGACAAACGCATCGCAGACGGAGGAACACACCAACAAGTCGCCAGCGACGACGTTTTCTCGCGTTTCCAGCAGCTGCGTGGCTTCCTGGCTCGTGAGCTGACTAAGTTATTGACTGCCGACAAAAAGAGTAGCGCGCTGGGTGGAGCAGCGCCGCCTGGACTGTATCCGCTGCTGCTGTTCTTGAGTCGCTTACGTCCTGGTGATGAGGACGATCAACGAGTAGCAGACGCTCCTGCGTCACCCTGTGACGGCTCTGGACTGGCCAGTTTTGTTCCTCTGGTGATCAAGTGCGCGTCGCAGCCGACGATGGCTATCCGACACATGGCCGCCAAGGTCGTGGCGTCTATCGTGAGTGATGCTGACGCTGCCTACGTGTTATCCATGCTCTGTGCCGAGCTACCTCAAGGCGTTCGCAGTGCCAAGGACCAGTCCGCTACGTCGCCCATGTCACACAACTATGTTCACGGAATTCTGGCTCAAATCCGCCATCTAGCAACGAAATATTTGGCTGTTGGAGGTGGAGGAAAGAGAGCTACACCCGTGTCGAAGGACGCACAAGTGGCGTTCTTGGAGGTCGTTGTAGCCAAGTTACTGCCTTCTACGATGTGGCTCTGGACAGGTCAGAAGGAGACCATTAACCCTGCCATCCGAGCCGAGATAGTCGCCACTGTGGACGTGGTGTTGCGGTTCTACGCCGAGGACGCTTCTAAAGTGGCTGCAGTGCTAAATGACGCAAGTAAGGACGCGTTTGTGCAGACTACGCAGCAGATTCAAGCGGAAGTTGAACGGCAGCTGATGCAGAGATGCGACTCGGATCGAGACGCTGCGGTGCTTGTGTCTACTCGACCGGGTATGTACGTGCTGGATCGCTCTTTAGTGGCGATCTGGTTCAGCTTGTGGACGGGTCGGCAACTGGATGCTCTTGTGAAGAAGATGCTGGTGTCTAACGTGCTTCAGATCCGCAAGAAGGCGGCCAAGCAGTTCGCGAACAAGCTGGTTATTGACGGCTTTAGTTCGGAGGCTGTTGCTGAACTGCAGACGGTTTTGATCACCCAGTTCTTGACCGAGACACACCCGAAGGTGCGAGCGCGACAGCTGCAGTTGCTGGTGCGTTGCGTGCTGCATCAAGCGATAGCAGATACGCAGACGCAACGAGCGCAACTGCAGACCAAGTTAACGCAAATGCTCGGCATCTCGGCGGACACTCGAGTTTTAGCGCCGGTGTTGGAGCTACTCGCTCTCATGGCGTCTCACCAGAACAGCGAGAAGGACGCGTTGTATCTGACTTTGTCCAAGGAGATTGAGCTGCGGTCCGACGAGAACCAGCCTCTGATTCTCCGTCAAGCTGCTGCCTCTGTTCTCCATCGTAGTGGACTTCTGCTCCTGCATACGAAGCAGGACACAGGTGCTGAACTACCACTGACTGGATGGATGAGTGCACTGCGACTGCTTCAAGACGACGACGTGCGTGTGAGAGCGGGTGCGCGTCACGCAGTACAGAGTGCTCTTTTAGAGACAACGGATACCACTACAGCCTCACTGTCTGATGCGACGGTGCTGCCTCTAGCGGTGGAGTACATGACTGTCTGCTTCGCGCGCACGGAGCACGGCGCGGCTTGTCTGGCCAAGGTGCTGTTCGAACTCGTCGACGCGCCCAGCGTGCTTACGGCTTATGCCGGCGCTGCTGGCGTCAAGGCTCAAGACTGGGACGATCTGTACCGCCGCATCTTTGAGTCTGAAAGCAGCAACTACTTCGCTGAGCAAGACGTGCTGGCGCAGAACCTCGTGCACGCGTTGTTGGCGCGTACAGTTGAAGACGGCGAGGCGATGCGTCACCTGCGTGATCAAGTACTGACGGCTGTGGTTAGTGCGCTTTTAACTCTGAACCAAGAAGCGCAGCGTTCGGGTCAGTGGCTGGGAGGCATCACGTACTACACGGACGTGTTCGCGCCTCTGTTTGGGCTTCTCGCCGCGGGTGTAGCCATCCTGACGTCGTGTCAAGACACAGCCGAGCTGCAGTCTCTCGCAAATCAAGTTCAGCAGCTCGCACAGGAAGCGTGTGGTATTCACAGCAACGATGAAGTTACGCATCCTTTGATGCTTCGGGCGCTTGAGTTGCTGGCCAACAAGGACCTCAAGAACTCGATGCAAACAGACAGTGAACCGGTCCGAGAGCTGTTGTATTTGACACCGTACTGGGCAGCTTTGACCGATTCATGGACAGCATAGAGCTCCGCAATGATTTTAGATAGACGCGGCGTGCTTTCAACAGTACAGCCCTGCACACCACAATAAAGACGCCGTTGGTCATGTCGAGCATAATCCAGCTCAGGGGCTAATCAAAACTATTGCGATCTATTCCAATTTTGCCATTTCAAAGTGTACCCCACCTTCTCCCTATTTCTTCTATGCCACTGAAGGAAAGAAACAACGCTGTCATTCCGACGTCCGTCAGTTGGCTCGAGAAAGAGCGAGTTTGGCGTTGCTCGCTTGGTCCAGGGATACGTTGATGAGGTTGTGCCAGGCTGTGGTCGTGTCGTGTACTTCTCGGTCGGTGTACATGATAGCAACGCGTTGGCGACAGCTATAACCGACACGGTCCAGCAATTCGGCGGACCTGTTAACGCTCTGATCAACAACGCTGGTCTTGCGCTCGGTGCGCCGGCATGCTTTCAAGACCAGTCGATAGGTGACATCTCCATGATGGTGGGGACCAACGCAAGCGGTGTGCTGTTCGCTGCGCATGCGGCACTCAACCAGGGCGGTATGTTCGCACAGAAGCGAGGTGTGATCGTGAACGTGACGTCTGTGACTGCGCTGGAGGCTCCGCCGTTCTCCGGTGAAGCTGTGTATTATATGGCCAAGGCGACGCAGGAGGGATTTTCGAACTCGCTTCGCAATGAACTCTGCGGTACGAACATCAAGGTTGTGGTGGTGCGTTCTGGTGTTGTAGTGACGAATTTCCACGAGCAACGCGTCGGCTTCGACAAGAATATGTACTCGGTTCATTGAGGGCTACGAGCCGCTGGTGTCCGAAGATATTGCTGATGCCATTTCGTGGGTGCTGGAGAAGCCTGAATGTGTGATGGTCAAGGCGATCGACGTCGTGCCGACGGCGCAGCGCAGTCTCAGCTTGTTCGACCGCGAATGGAGCGCTCGTAATGCGAAGTAATGTGCTTGTGGAGTGTCTAGCTGTAGAATACGAAAAAGAAGGTAAATTCCAGCTTATGATTGGCAACGTTTTCATTCTTTCGACTACATAACCGGCTTTCTTGGTCAGTCGTGAGTGCAGGTACCAAACGAAGCAGGTTAGTTTTGTGTTGTGTTGCACCGCTTTTCGGACCAACTATTATTGTGACAACGTGAGCCGGATTGTGGGTGCATATTCTAAGCGCAACGCTGCATGCAGCACTTGTAAGCTCTCAACTGGCATTGCCAGTCTGGCAGTACAGTACACTACATGTTCGTGATGTACAGTACGGGTATGTGCTTCATGGCGGTCCCGCTCTTGAGCTGACTCAGCTCATCGTTTGCTTCATTGAAGCTTCCAATACATGTACATAGTACATGTACACGGTGTACTACACCGGGTACTACCGGTCTGGTACATGTACTACCGGACCGGTACATTCACAAGGTTGTCTGATCTCGCATTGTCGGCTGTTCCAACTTGAAACTTCCAAGCAGCTCGACTCGAGCTTCCCTCGAACTTGTCCCTGTACAGTATTGCGGGAACTGCTTCACGCGATCCGGCCAAAGGTGTCTTTGGGACGAGCTACGTACAGTTGTACTGTGCAGTGAACGCTGCACAGTTTGAAACATTTGCAGTGTACAAGGTTTGTACATGTACATGAACAGTGGTCTTCTTTACGTTTGACCACCGTATCACTGATTTGCTCGCTTCTTTTTGGTGAAGGTATGCACTTTTCTTTCGTTTTTATAGGTTTGATCTAAGAAACTAATACATGTATTAATACATGAGCGCTACATTGATTGATCAGCGTGACGGCGTCACTTTTAAATGGCTCTGTGCAAAGATCCAAATTGAAATTTATATAAGAAGCAAGACTTTTCTACTTTGTTCTGTAGTACTGCACACCAACTGTATTAGACACGCATTTTCAAAGATACCGGTACATGTTCAGTACTACAATTGCCGATCTCAAATGAAAACTACATAAAGACTTAAAGTTTTGAGAATAGGTTTACAGTAAGTCTAGAATAACAAACGGTACGTGTACATGTACGTTACCAAGTAACCTACGAAGTATACGCTACGGAAGCGATGTTCAAAGCCGATCAGCGTGTCTGATGCAGGCCACAGATGACTTGACCCGTTTTGATGGTGTCGGAGTTCGACTCGAACCGTTGTATCACTTAGACAGACAGTTATCCTGTCCTCGTTTCTGCCCATTCGTCTGATACTGAAGTACATCTCGTGTCGACTCTGCTGATCACTTGACGCCATAAACGAGGACGACCACCCGCACCAGCATGATCATGATCACCGTATACGGTCTCTTCCGAGTGCCTTGAGCGCACCACCCGAATCCATTCTCCAATTCACTCAAGCCTACGCAAATACACCTTCGCTCCACCATGCTGTCCTTCGTCAACTGCATCGTCGCGGCCACTTTTGCCGTCGTCAACTTCACCAGCCAGAGCGCGGCCGGCCTGGACGTGAACCTCCTGCCGGTAGGAACGTACTTCAAGCCCTCGGACCGCATGTACTCCGGCGTCGTGAGCAACACGCGGCCGTTCCGCCGCTCGCCGTGTGTGACGACTGGTGAGAGCACGGCGCAGAGGAACAGCGACGAGGAGCGAAGCGGAGGAGGGCGGCGAGAGTCCAACGAAGGGGACTCGAAGGTAAGGCATAGGAGGCAGTTGATGTGCCTCGAAGAAGGTAAATTGGAAAGTGAGATTGAAATGGTTAGTTGTTTGTCGGCTACGAGGAAGTGCTTGTTAGCATTCCCTTGGTATCCTATGTAAGTATATGCATTTCACTATACTAGATTCTAAGTAGTCCTTGAGTCGAATCTGGAAGTAGCGTAGCGTAATAGTGAACCGCGGTTCATTTGAACCGGGTCAGAATCTCCATAGTGAATTCAAATGAAAAATAATGACTGTCATTGAAGTTCCATGTTTGGCAATACTCGTCCAAACATGGTGATTGCAGGCGTGTGTCTGCCTGGCCGCTCATTGGCAACTTAAGAAGACAGTTGGCAGTCAGCAAAGACAAGTATGAAAGAAAATAGAAGAAAGTAGGACGCATTGGTATTAACGTCATGGCCATCGCTGGCTGTGACGTTGGTGCGTCGTTACATCCTCCCGGACTTGACTTCTCGTTGACGCTTGCTGAAGTCGAAAACGAGAACCTTCCAATGCGACACATGGCGGATGTCTTTTTCGCGCTCCCAGGTTGCTTCGTGATCTGGCAATCCGTGCCATTTCACAAGCCATTCAGGTTTGCGATTGAATTGACGCTTGCGAAGAAGCTTCTCGATGATGTGCATCGTTGCGCCAGTGTCGTCGTCAATAATCAGTCTTGAGGCCTTTGGGATAGGACGAGTCTTAAAACGCGACGGGTTTTCAACGTAATGACTCAACACGTCCACATTGAACGTGGAGCTCAGACGACTCATGCTTCGCGGAAGATTCAACCTGGCCACATTCGGGTTGATCATTTTCACAATCTCGAATGGTCCAATCTTGCGAGCAGCGAGCTTAGCCCGTTTCCCATCAATGTCTTGAGTCACATGGGCGGAAGGAATGCGACGTGTATCCAGCATGACTAAGTCTCCTTCCTTGAACGTGATCGATGATCGCTTCTTGTCATAGTACTTCTTCTGACGTTCTTGGGCTTGAAGAAGATGCTTCGTTGCCAAATCAATGATCTCTTGGCGTTTGTCTTGGAGCTGTTTCGCATATTCAACAATTCCACGCTGAATTTGGGTCATGGTACTGGGACTGCTCAAAGGATTCAACAGATTCCGTTCCTTGCGTCCAGTATCAACTTCAAAGGGCGACATACCGGTAGATGCGCTGACGAGAGTAGCATGAGCATACTCAATCGTTCCGAGATTATCCGACCAATCACGTCCGTGGTACGATATCATGCAGCGTAGAGCGTCTTCCAGAATCAGATTCTGGAGTTCGGTTTGTCCATCGGCTTGGGCACGATAGGAAGTTGTCATGTGCAGACGAATTCCCATTAGCTTAGCCAAGGATGACCAGAACTTGGAGACGAACTTGGAATCTCGGTCGCTGATGATGATCGATGGTAAACCGTGATGGCGAACAACGCAATCAAAGAAGTGATACGCAGTCTTCTGTGCATCATCAGTCCG